GGGGGGGGGGGGGGGGGGGGGGGGGGGGGGGGGGGGGGGTTCATGATGGCATTTTTAGCATTCAAAAGAATTCTGTTTATGAAAGTTGATAAGTCACATGTAGACGTGGACATATTAACAAACCTGTTTGAGGAACATTGGCAAACTTCTCAAATGATGCAATCTGTGCTGGTAATGATTTGACGTTGCATTTTTAATTCTTTCATCTAAGCGATTTATAATCTCTGATGACACTTCTCCTTGCTGCTCTCCTTTTGATACGTGTCTAGTTGACTAAGCTATGGCTGGACCTAACTTGCTGTATAATGAATAACTCCTGTTTTACGCAATGATGTGAACAGTAAGAATTTTGAGAAAGGTTTCGCATTTATGGTGCAAATATGGGCCAGATAAAAATAACCCTGTCATCCATCCATCCGTGAGGTTCTAATCGCTTATATACTGTAGTCCAGGTAGTTGGGTGGTATAGGGGAGAAGGCTGGAGGTCACCCTGAGGACCAAGTCGGTGAAACAAAAAGTATACGTTGGGTAGCAGGTAGAGCTACTACTTTTCACCTAAGGCTGGAGGTTCAAATAGTGCCTCTGTGGTGATGTGTGTGTGTGCATATGTGCGTGCGTGTGTGTGTGTGTGTGTGCGCGTGCATGTCTGCGTGCGTGTTTGTGTGTGTTTGTGCACGTGCATGTGCGCATGCGTGTTTGTGTGTGTGTATGCATGTGCATATGTGCGTGCATGTGCGCGTGTATGTGTGTGTGCGTGTGCATGTGTGCGCGTGTAATGTGCATGTTCTCCCCAAATCACATAGATTTCCTGTGGTTCCGTCCTGCACCTGCAGTCCAAAGACGTGTTGTGTGTGTGTGTATCTGTGTGTGTCTGTGGGTTTGCAGAGATCACATTTGGGGCCCAAAATGGGGACATCTTACTTTTGGGGACATCCTTCAGGTCGCAATTAAAAAAGTAAAAGTGCCAAAAGTTTTGTATTTTGTTTAGTTACTTATGATTAAGTTTAGGGTTGGCTAGGGGATAGGGTGTCATGATTGGCATTCGGGTTTTTCTGTGGAAAAATAGAAGGTTCCCTATTTGACGCGTATGCCAACATGTGCTTGTGTGTGTGCCCTGCAGTGGATTCCATTCCTCTCCAGGGTGATCCTCAGGCTTATGCCCTATGCTGCCTGGGATAGACCATGGCCCCCTATGACTTGGAACTGACACAGGGTGGATGGGTTTCTATATGTCTATTGGCCTAGGAATTGGATTTGAGAGTAGCTCCTTAAAGTAACAATATATTTTCCTTCTTTTCAGACTGTGGGCATTGCCAGGGTGATTACAAGGCTAACCTCGATTGACTGTCTGAGGTCTATGTATAATTGTTACCTGTAAATTATTTTCAAAATGTTAGGATTAAATGGAAGAGTGAACCATCAGGTAGAAAAAAACGATTGTGCCAATTCCTTTGACAATGTGTGATTTTGCTACAATGTAGCTCTTTGCCTTTGCAGAGTGTTACTTAGGAGTTACTCTGTTACTACAAACTGTTACCACAGGTATATTGATAAATTGAATTATTTTAAGCTTCTCCGTCACAGTAGTGCCATAACATTACATGGTGACATAAGTTGTGGGACCAGGAGCCATAAGTTCCAGTGTTGGCTGCAAATAACATAAGCAATATCATTCATTGTGTTCATCGAGGAGTTTTCTTGCAGTGGATGACTTGATATTGATGTAACACTGTCAACATGGAAAATGACACTGCTTCATACTTACCACAATTGCTGTTGTTGGCTGTAACTGTCCCATCCTAAATGCCGGCATTGTGCAGGTGTCTGGACCTGAGAACACAAAAAGACTTATGATATTTGCATTTATTTATTGGCAGATAATGGTGTTTATTATTCTGTTGGCCGTGGATTTCCAAACCGCTACGCTCTATTTAACAGATGCTTTTGTCCAAAGTTACATTCACGAGAGGCAGATAATACACAATCACACGTATATACAGCTGTCAATTTAGGCACAAATGCGATAGGCAGAGCTTACCAGGATTTCTCAATAAATGCAAGTTAGTTATACGGTATTCCCCGGAATGGTCTAAGAACCAGTGAACCTGATGGAGATGTGTCACACAAAGTTGCACTTAGATGGGGGGGAGGGGGTGACGGAGTCATCCTAGGAATATATTACTGTTGTTCTGGCAGCATGTAGTTATAATTTAGGTCATGAATGATCAAATTACAGTACTGGGCACTCTATGGCCATTTTGTTGTTGTTTTTCTTGACACAATAGACTTTAGTGGGGAAACATGGTTTCTCATATATAAATAGAAGCTTATTCTACTCGTGTAAATCCCAAAAGTGGTTAAGGCAGTGAATAATGAACTCTTTCTACCTTCACGTGCCGATGCCATTGCCTCAGGAAAAAAAGCACCAATGGAAAAGCAAAGCAGTGAAGAGTTTTAAGCTGTTGTTTTGCCTCAGAAGATGATAAACATCAAAATGTGAGGAACAATAATAGTGAGATCTTGATTAATTGTACACTGATTGACTGCATTGTGGTACTATTCAGTTATTGTTTAGCCAGGGACAAAATAACCTACTTCTAGAAAATATGCGATATCCTACTTGGCGACACTTAAAAAACCAAGAGTCCCCACACCTAAGTAACCTGGTTCGTATTTCCATTTCATTTTCTGGTCAGTGGTTTGTTTTTACTCTGGTTGTATCAACAATTTATCAAGAGACTTTTCAGCTGAATATCTCCTTATAATTATAGAGCTATAATTCGAATTTCAATTTATTTAGATATTTTTTGTTTGCTTTAAATTTAGAGCTACTAATCAGAAACCATATACATATTTTATATGCCCTGGATGGAGAATATGTACGGTTCTGGGACCGGTCCACCGGCCCTGCTTGTTAGTGGATCTGAGAATCCCCCGAGCAGAGAGAGATCACTGCATAGACTTCAAGTGCTGAGCTTCGGAAAGATACGGCTTTACGGAGACAAAAGTGGATACAGGCAACAGAGACACAGCGCAACGAGATATACTTTGAAAACTTTTTTTTCGGCAACTGAGAACACAAAGAGACATATTTGCATTTATTTATTGGCAGATAAAACTTAAAATCAGAAACAGATCAAAATAAATCCAACAAAACCGAATACATATGAAACTTTATTGTCACTTCCGCCTACGTTCATTTCTGAAACTGGTGGAAACGGGGATACCGAGCAAGACCTAGTGCAGCACCTGTTCTGTCGAACCTCACAGCCTATCGAAATGTGCGTCAAATCTGTATTGCGCATGCGCAGTAAACATTTCCATCGATCTGTGCTACCTAAGAAGAAAACATAAACGCAACTCGTCAGAACACCGGCTTCGTGTTGGTGGAAAAGACGAAGGTGTAACGGCTTTTAGAAAGACCTGTAAAGCTAATGTGAAATGTCAGAGTGCGGTTATACTCTGATAACTGCACTCAAAGAACGCCTCTTGTCCAATCAGATTTCTTGGTCGGAACTTACTGTTGTATAATAAAGTACAACCTAAAAACCTGGATATAATTAATACCATATGCATATAATATGGACTGGTCAACAAACAGTGAAATAAAGTGAAATAGATAAAATAGGTATTAAGAGATCAAATAATACAACAATGATAAAAGAACAAGAAAGTAAAATAAAGTGAAATTTAAGAAAACACCAATTATTACACTTTCTTTAACATTATTTTTTATTATAAAAATGCATTGACTTCTCCAATGTTTCAAGGTATTCAGAGAATATCCAGAAGGTCCTGACAGACCAACACTGAATAATATAGGGTCATAGTGAGTCAGTCCCAGACAGCACAAGGCAGGGGCACCCTTAGGTCTGTCACAGGGCACACAAATGGCTGGGAAATTGCCTGTTCTGGGGACGGCAGGAGGAAACCTGTGGAGAGCATGCAAACTCAGCACCTACGAATAGGTGTCAGGATTTGAACCCCAAACACGGGAAGGGTATGCGATCCACTGAACCACCTCGCCAACTGTTTTCAGGGAAAAAAAAAACATTTCTAAAAATGCAACTTAAAAACTCGCACTTAAATAACGCAATGAAGCCAATAAAAAATGACCAGTTATTTCATCACAGTAATAACGCACGAAAAGTCATTTTCCATTCGCGACAAATATATTAGAAATGTATACATACAATTCAGTGCATGAACTGCAAACACACAAAACATTCACTAGAGCCTCATGACCAAAGAACCACGCTTTCCCACAATGCAACATTCAACATGGCGGCGCCCTAGTACCGACATGTGTATACTGTGTTAACCACTCTCTGTTGCTTTCATGGTTTTCCGTCTGTTTTTTAAACTTTAATTGGAGAATCAAAGATCACGTTAAAATGAAGACAAAATCGTCATATCATAGATCGGAAAACACTTACAGGGTAAGTATTCACAGCTAGTAAGCTGAGTAATACAAACTTGCAGCCGATCTGTCATATTGTTCTTTAAATGTTTCTGAAAAGGAGCAATAACTCTGTTTAGTTATGTGTTTTTATTGTTATTGGTCGTTGTCAAGTGTCAGTGATAAAATGGTCAAGTGAAGGAGTCGCTAACCAACACCAGCGGATAAATGTGTACGTGGCTAGACCCGTCCATATCCGTGGCAAGATGTTTTGATTGCAAAAAATAACCTTTTAAAATGCCATGTCCGTGGTAAAGAAATGTTCTTTGATCAAAATGTCCGTCCTAATTCGCCATGGGGTTGAGCCCTGGTGAAATTATACGGCGATTTGAACTATTTTTGTCTGTTTTCATCTCCAGTTTCTTACCTTCTCTGAACGGCTAGCAAATGTGAATATAGATGTTATACAT